TGACTAGAACCATGACAAAAAGAAGATATATTAATAAGATATAGAAATAAAAAAGTGGGGTTCTTGTGGAAATGCAATCAGAGAAGGCTTTTCTGAGCAGCTGACAAATGAACACTTGATTTCCTGATCTCTTACTCAATGAATTAACAACAGACTGCATAAAGGAAACCTCAGAATTAAGATAACATAACAACACATATTATTCTAGTTGTATTCAGGATAATTCCAATTTATTTAATTCCAAACAAATGTTGATTGATTGACATTAATTACCATGAAATTATCTCCCAATATATTCCATTCATTTTTTATGTAGACACCAGTTGCAATAAAAGTCTGCTTCCTGGAGTTCCAAAAACCAAATAAGAATTTGAAACATGATTGCATGATCTCTAATTTCAAAATTTCAATATAAATTTGTGGTATTTTTTCCATTTCTTCCAAAAATAACCATAATCTAAGCCAGCAAACATTTACTTCTGACAACACATTATAAGTTATTAGGCACCTAAAGTTATGAAAAGGGGAGAGTATTTTCTTAACCCCAGACCTCCTTCATAAATATAACCGAGAACCTGGAAATTAGGGGTTGCTGGAATGAATTACATAGTAGATGGTTGTGAAATCCTTTTCTTTAGTGGTTATAAAGATGGGGGCAAATAACCAGGTTTCTGGAATGGTTTTGGATCATTTTGCTTGGAAGGCAGGACAAGACTGGACGACCTTGGGAGCCCTGCTCAGTGATAGAATTCACTGAAAATAGAGCATGTGTTTTTCGTAGTTGCAGGATCTGATATTATCTTGGTGGGGAAGTTCAGTCTAGTGCCTTCTGCTGCAAACCGGTGATCCACATATACTATTCACAAGTAGAAGCATTTAAATGTACGAAGAATTTCATATCTTTGAGTAATCATGTCAAATTTTAAATTTACTTTTACTTCTAGAGAGTGCCATATCTGCCAATAAAATGTAGATCAGTAGTTTTTCTCTTGATCACTTAATAATAAAAAGCTAACGTTTAAAGATTTAGGGATTTTTCTTTCTTTGTTTGTTTAGCCGTCTAATGTCTACTATGTTCTTTTCATTGGAAAGGGATGACTGGAAAGCTTACAAGCTCAGAAGACTGTATTTCATTTGGGTTTGCAGAGAGATTCAATCCTTCCGCTGGTTTGCAGACTTACTCTGTGTGCTGCATAACAAGGTACAATCAGAGCTTCTCTTAGTTTTGCAATTTTTCTTTCTAATGTTGACAAAATTAAGAAATTGTCATTCATCTTACAAATGTGGTCCATGCTTATAATAAGATAAAATTTTAAATATGGAGATAAATGGCAGAGAAGAAAAAGTCTCCAATGCCCAAAACTCAGAGACTAATTCTGTCAATAACATGTTACATTTCTTTCCAGATAGCCATGTTTGTGAATATGAGTATCTACCTATGGGAGAAAATATTTTTATGTAGAAATGTACTTACATATCTGCAAGGTAGTGAGAAAAGGCAGATGGTGAGAATTTCATTTCCCTCTTACTTGTT